CCCTGGTTTGGGTATAAATATTACCCTTGCATCCTGCCATTTAAGGGGGGTATATGTGAATTTCAAGCATGCAGTGAATATCTGAAACGAGTCCCGCCTCCATCTGTAAGAGAACCGGGAAAATGCAATCCGGTCCTGCGGCTTTATAGGGAGCGAAGCTCTTGATTGCCCCTTTAACCATATCAGATGTAATTACAATTTCCGTGTCAGCCTCCCCTTCCTTCAATATCGGTTCATCTATGTTATTCGATATACCGGGTGGGAAATGAGAGTCCATTAGGAGTTTCATTGTCTCCTCCATATCCTCCAGCCTCCTGCCTGTATCATCGACCATAGATTCCGGTTGGACATGAGTTTTGGATAATTTTTTTATCTCCGATACGTCATTTACGATGTCTACCTGTTCACAGAAAAGTTTCCAGGAGTCTCGTTTGGCTTTACGAACAATTTTGTTATATTCACCAAGTTTACTACGATACTCATCCCAGTATACTACGGTCTTTTTACGCCGTGTCCGGTTAAATAGTTTGCGAAGAGTATTACCAAGGTTCCGGATCTCCCCGGTTACCCAGGGTTTCTCCTGGGCAGATCTCTGCTCTCGCAGAGGGCAGCTGTCCTTAAACGATTCAACCAGGGCACTTGTAAACGTTTCCACTTTGGCATCTATATCCTCTTTATTTCGACATTTTAAAGTGTCCCGACATAAACGGTTCTTTAGTAAGGTCCCGAACATTGTCCAATTAGTTTTAGACTTATTCCGGAACTTTATCGGCTTTGGTGGCGGCCGTAGTATTTTGAATCTTATGTAGCGATGGTCAGAAAAGGAGTGCTCGTCCGAAACTCTCCAATCCTGAACTTCGTTTATAAGCTCTTCTGAACATGTAGTTATATCTAATACTTCTTTTCTGATTCTATTGTCGAAGGTAGCTTTATTACCTAAGTTCGATTTGATCAAGTCTTTAGTATTAAGGAAATCCATAAGGGCTTGTCCCCTGCGATTGGTGTTTGTAATACCCCAAGCTACATGGTGGGAGTTGTCATCACAACTTATTACAATTTTCTTATTTTTCCTTTGTGCCTCTTCGACCAGTTTCATCAGCTCCGACGTTGGTGGTAGTGTCGGAGAATCGAAAGGCAGGTAAACAGATGCAAGGTATATGTTGCCACGACCTTGCTTCAGCACCGTTGCATCCGATGTGGAAAATCCTGTTGAGAGGAGAAAACATAAGTTCTTGTGACTTATGTTTTCAGCGTAGAAGAGTTGGAAATTTACGTGATTTAATCCAGAAACCTTGTTGCGAATCGTCCAAGGTTCCTGGATTAAAGCTATATGTATCTAACCTGTGTTAATTTTAGCTATCAGAGCATTGGTAGCCGTCTCGCTCCGATGGAGGTTTATTTGGATAACATCAATCATTGTCATCCATTTAAACTGTCTTCCAGCGAGTTAGTGATCACATCCCCGCTCGTTGGATTTGACTCCTCCGGGTAACCTGAAGTGGCAATTGATACAGTGGGTACCATTCATGGCACTACGGTGTCCTTATCAGGCATAGCAAGAGCAGTCTTTTTAATCGACACTTTCCCAATTTTGGACAGCACTACTGTTCTGTCTTCTGGAGAGTGAGTGATTTCCTCCTCGCTTTTAGGATTTGACTCCTCAAAATTACCAGTACTTGCTAATGATCCTTTGGGTACCGTCTTAGGTGTTGTAGTGTCCTTAACTGGGCGGTTTTGACATCCCTTTCATTCGGCGCCTCCCCAATTTTGGAAAGGGCAGCTGCATCTTCTTTTGGTGAGATTCCAACCTCATCAACATCACGCCCATGCTGAACTGGCAGCTCGCGCTCTCTATTGTTGTTTGCCCTTTGAAGCGATTGCATGGTCCACTATCTTATTGTTTACCAGATCTTCTACCTTACTCTACAACAAAAGTTGTAATAACATCAAATGTCATACGGCGAACTTATGACCTTTGACTTTCACTATCTCATTAGGACCGCGACTTTTAGTTCTTTATTTATATTGTTTCGATGATGCTGTATACCAGTTTTTATATTACCGTCACAAATTCTTAATTTTTGGTCAATATGTCCGCTAATTTAGACAGATTACGTTTTAAAAGGCAAATATCGCTGATGTTGTGGATGTAATGCTATCATCCGCTGCATGGTGTTATAATTGGTCAAATATACCCCTTAAAGTCCCTAAACCCAAATTTCGAAAGAAATCTTAAAATCTGCACATAAAATTGGAAGAATATTTCAATATAAAAACTATTTCCAAAAAGTCCAATGTGGAGTTTTTTTGAATTGCGCTATAACGCGTTAAAAATTCGGTTATGTTTCAAAATATACATTAATTAAATTAGTTAATAAATCCGAAAAGATGCAACGCGATATTACAAAAAATACAGCTAATTTAACCTTTAACACCAACAAAAAATGTCGCACGCCTTTTGGGACTTCATCTAAACCAACGGTGACCAAACATGCCCTTGCCTTGGCATTGTGTTATTCTCACTTATACACACGCAATACGAATTTCTCAGCAACAAAACAAACTAAACCCGACATCGGCAGAGCGTAAAATTTTCTTGTCTCATTAACACCACTTCAGTTTTTTTTTTGCATTCTTTGCACTGAAAGAAAAGTTTGTAAAATTTTTTAGTGTTGTATGTAGTGTGTACTACTTTACAGTGTACTCTATATAAAATTACAAAAAACGTTACATTTATTATTTTGTATGAATATATGTTGAAAAAAACTGAAGCATTAACTATTATTATTGTGCATTGCCATCGGCAACGCATTTATTTGCAATTTAAGATATAAGGTGAACCGTAATATTTACTCCTTCTAGTTAAAACTAAATAAATAATGGAAGATTTTATGAAATTTAAAAAATAATAGATTGTTAAGTGTATAAAAATATCCTCCAAGATGTTTTGCACTCATATGGATTTTCTATATGTCATTTAAGTGAAAATGTTAACAGGACATTAACTAAAATCGGCTTATATTTCTGGAAATAACAGAGTAGCGTATATTACATATGTTTAGGAGTTTATGTCGATAATAAAACTTTTTTAAAATTTCCATTATTTATAACATTCACACAGAAAAAATAAAATTCGCCAAACAGGAACTTATCTTCATGTTTAACATCAGATATTTCTCTGTGTGTATCTCAATCAAAAAACTTAAAAATTAAGAGAATGACGTACGTACGTGTGAATGAGGGAAAACCAAAGAGCTCTTAAAGTGGCTCTTCGCCTAAGTCTGAACTAAACACAAAAGAAAAACAATTTAGTTTATTTGCTTTCCTTATGAAATTATACACAGAGAATATTTTCAAAAGGCGTTAAAAATAAATGTACATATGAATACTTTTAATAAATTTATTAGACAAATAATTATTTATAATAATCAGGGCAAGGATTTGTATGCAAATGTATGTCAGTAACTCAAAATAACTTTTAAGTAGTTTTCTTTTCGAACCAAAGAATTTGCATCAAAATGGCATTGATTTGTTGTTGCATTTTGCACATTTTGCTTTGAAATGCATATATTTTGCATATTTCTAACATTTTTATAGCATATTTTATAATTTTTCGAATATAAATTGTTTTTTTTTTGTATTACAAATTTTTAAAATTAAAAAAAAATCTATTTTTTGAGTTGGGTCACTTGACACGAGATCGTGATTCTGTTAAATTGATATTAGAGTACATAAAGCGGCGCCTCTGTCATCAAGAACCTATATATTTGTTGTCAAAAACTAAATATCTATTAAAATTTCTTAAATACGCGTATATTTTTCATTATTTATTGCATGAAAATCCTTGCCTTGAAATTATAAAATTTTACAGGGGAAGCAAACAACTATTTAAGTTGAAAAGTTTGTTTCTATCAACGCGATTTCTTGCTATTCAATAAACAAATTGTTTAATATTAAACCTATCATTTGTTATGGTAGTTGACAATGGCGTAAAGAAAAATGGATAAATTGGAATTTTTACCTTCCTTTTGTTTTTTGATATATAAAATCGCAAGTTTTGTTTTGAGGAGTCCAATTTTGTTTGTGAACATTTGATTTGATGCAATATATTAGAATCAACAATAAAATCGATTGATTGCCGTTTGCGTTTCAGGTGACGATATACAAATGTATAAAGCCTTTCACAGAAAATTAGTTTAAATATATCGGAACCAAAGTACAATTCAACAGAAATGCTTTATTACATTTTATACTCATATCTGAGGTAGTTTATCATACGGTCAACCACGGCAGAATATACTTTCATACTTTAATTTTTTGATTTTTTTTGGCATTTTAAAATTAATTTAGCATTTTTTCTAGCATTATTTTGGATGGGGTTTAGCCATCGAGACCTGGTCACACTGTCCATATTCAATAATCATTTAACCGGTTTTTCGCTAAAAGTATATAGCATGAGTAATTTTGCACTTTATTTTGTCCGATAGTGTACATACATACATACACACGCACATACATACATACATACATACATACATACATACATACATACATACATATATACATACATACATACATACATACATACATACATACATACATACATACATACATACATACATACATACATACATACATACATACATACATACATACATACATACATACATACATACATACATACATACATACATACATACATACATACATACATACATACATACATACATACATACATACATACATACATACATACATACATACATACATACATACATACATACATACATACATACATACATACATACATACATACATACATACATACATACATACATACATACATACATACATACATACATACATACATACATACATACATACATACATACATAAATCGTATTTTTCATTCTCGATTCTAATAGAGCCAATTGTTAGCTAACCACCAAAACGGTTTCAAATAAACGGAGTTTTATTTTATAAAAGCTAAAAAATCTTACCTTTTTTTCAAAATCCATTGGAGTGCTCTCATTTGCAAATGAATATTTGAGAAATGAACGATTTAAATCTTCAGCCAAATCTTTACGACAACGCGAAACAGCATTGTCTACATTAACGTCAGTCACTTTGGGTTTCGATGTTCCATTTAAAAATTCATTTTCTGAAATTGTTAAAAATTTTTGATATTAGATGGTGAAAAATATTGCAAATTACGGTTTAATCAAATTATTGGCTATATTCACATAAACAAAGATAAGGTAGGATAATAATAGTAACCTGTAATACCAACTCACACCAAGTAGCTTAGTGTAGCACTAATACTAGTGTTTTTCACTGTTCACCAAATGTCAGAAAAATTATACGGGAATTCCAGGGAATAATTTTCCTTAGTTTATGGGACATTTTTAAAATTTTTTTTAAATAAGTACATTAAGTAATAATATTAAAAAGTGCTAAAAACTAGGAAACAAATTACATACAATTAAAACACAGATTTTTTGGAATTGATCTTTAAAATTGGCGCAAACAGACAAAACCCATTGGTATACCTTACTATAGGTATACGGCCAATATTTCCATTCATTGCAAACATTAGCACACATTCATAATATTTTAGGCTTGTACATTAGAAATCGTGTCGATTTACATACTTTTTCATTTGATTTTTATTAATTATTTATTTGTATCTAACTACAAACATCTTAAAAAAATGTAAATAACGTATATATTAGAACAAATTCATATTTTCTTTTAGGAGGGAATTCCCCGGGAATTTTTAAAAATTAATCCCGTTTTCCCAGGAAATGAAAGGGTCCGGGAAAAGAAAAACACATATTTCAATGTTGCCTGAGCAAAATTGGAGATTTCTTGTATTTTATTCCTTTAGGGATGTGCCGTGCCCCTACAACACATACTATTCTACTATTTTACTGATTATTTAAATCAATTCATTTCGCATTCAATAATTAGATTTTAAATAAAATGTAAATATTTTCATATCATGGAGTGTTAGAAAAGTGAGCCTAAATAACGAAGAGGCAAAAAGAGGCAAACATTTTAATTTTGGTGTTATTGAGAAGATTTCAGAGTATCTTTGGAATATGGTCGCTTAGAAGCCATTAGTGGCCAAATTGTACTTTTTTACTTTTAAAAATTGCAAAAAATATAAATATCGATAAAAAAAAATAGCAGTTTAAAATGTCGTTAATAAATAACACCTTTTCATACATAACAATAACACCTTTTCATACATAACAATAGTATATTTGGTATCGAAAAAGAAAATTTTTAGAAATTTAAATGGTAGATTCGTACAAAAAATAATAAAAAAATTTGTAGAATAATATACATAAAAACATAAACTTTGCTATATCATCTAAAGGCCTATACAATAAAAATGGGATAACTAATGATAGCGTTATATAGACAAAAGTCTTATCTTTCTAGGCATATTAAATTTTTATCAAAAAAATCATTTCTAAATATTTACTTTATGCCAAGTTTACTTTATTACATTATTATTATATATCATTATATTACCGTACAGAACTCATTAAATGTAATACAATAATGGCATAAAATATTAATTTAAATTATGTAAGAACGTTGTTCAAAATTTTAGAGATAATAAATTGTTTAACAATTATGAGACTAATAACAAAAGTATAATCAAGCATAAAAGGTGTACATTTAATCATATTTAAAATCATGAATATTAGATAAGTTAATTCGAGAACAATTTAATAATTATCCGGAATAGCGAATGTAAAAAAGTGCCATTTTGAAATGAGACTGCGGTGTTTGAAGACAATTAATCTTTTGCCTCTGTTAGATCTTTAGACGAGGTTTTAGTAAGTTATTCAAGCTTGTTCCATAGAGTTTAGAAGAAAATTCTGAGATGTGATCAGAACGTTCCAATCCAAATACTATATTATTAAATGTAACATTTAGTTTTCTTGAACTCACAACGTCACAGCTAGCGAAAAGTTTACAACCATATAGCAAAATTGGTACACAGAGGGAAAAATAAATATACACGCCTGGTACCAAATCAACACCAAATTTTTCAATAACATCCTTTGTCAAGTATATACATACATATAACAACAACATGTAAACAATTCGTTGTCGCAATCTAAACTTTATTCACATTTGTTGTCTAAAAGTTAACAAACGTGGTAAGCTCAAAATGCGTTGTCAATAGAGAGCTTACCACGTTTGTTAATATTTAGACAACGGATGTGCATAAAGTTTAGATTGCGACAACGAATTGTTGCAATTTTGACAAAATTGCGTGGTCTACATTACAAGTTGTTGTTGTATGTATGTATATACTTGACAGTGGATGTTATTGAAACATTTTGTGTCAATTTGGTACCAGGCGTCTATATTTTTTTCCTCTGTGTATTATACGTTTTACCAAGCAAGATACGAATAATCAATGGGGTACAATGTTGAGAGTGTCACAGAGACCGGATCATGGAGAAGGTACGTACACAAATATAATTAATATGATCAGACCATGAAAGATTACTGTTGAATATATGAAATACCAAGATTCTTAGCACTGTTAACAATTTCAATAGGTTGATTATTTATTATTATATTAACATTAGATGATGCATAACTGGTGTGAACGGGTTTACCAATAACTAAACATTTTGATTTACAGTACTTTTCGCTTATAGTCACAACCCTTAATTGTACACAAATTGAGGACTATATCGCTTAAGTGATTAGAAATAAATTTTTTTGTATATGCCACAATGTGCTTACAAAGAAAATATTATATATTTTCATTATTTGTGAATATAAAAAAATTTTAAATTCATGTTTATTAAAGAAATATTTTCATAAACTCATTACATTAAAATATATTGTTAAATTCTTTAAAAAAAATCAATAATTTTAGTCAGTTTTAGCTTGAGAATGTTGGTTACAGTTGTATCTTCTATTTTTTCAAATAAAAAATTTCAATTATATATGCTCTAAGCAAAAATGTTGCAAAATATCTACTGTAGTAGTGATTCGTAGTAGTAGTGATCGATTGTAGTAGTAGTGATCGATTGAATTTAGTATTTATATGCTGAAATATACAATTGACAAGAATAACTTTCTTACAACATTCGAAAAGCATATGAAAAAGTCGTAGGAGTGAATATACAAGAACAACATACCATACAACATACATACATACATACATACATACAAAATCAGACATACAGACAACATACAGACAGACATACAGCCAGACAACAACAGACATACAGACAACGAAGACAGACAGACAGACAACACATACAGACATAAAGACAGACATACATACATACACAGACAGACAGACAGACGACAGAAGACAGACAAATACAGACATACATACACATACATACAATACAACTACATACATACATACATACATACATACATAACATACATACATACATACATACATCACATACATACAACATACATACATACATACATACATACATACATACATACATACATACATACATACATACATAGATACATACATACATATTATTTATATTAAAAAAAAACAACAAATCAAGTGGAATTTTACTCCTATAAATTTATTAATTAATGAAATATCTGATTTTCGGAAGTAGACTTTATATAGGAGCTATGACCAATTAAGGCCATCTCCGGAAAAACTTCGTACATATTATTTATATTAAAAAAAAGCAACAAATCAAGTGGAATTTTACTCCTATAAATTTATTAATTAATGAAATATCTGCGTTTAAGTGATTTTCGGAAGTGGACTTTATATATTAGCTATGACCAATTAAGGCCATCTCCGGAAAAACTTCGTAGAGTGATTCATATTTAGACAAAATATTTGTGTCGAATTTTATCACGATAGCTTCATTTGATAATGAAATATGTGCGTTAAAGTGATTTTTTGAAGTGGACTTTATATGGCAGCTATTACCAAATATGGACCGATCCGGAAAAAATTTGGTGGAATGATCTATATGCACCTTATATGGGAGCTATGACCTTATATGGGAGCTATAACCAGTTACGGACCTATCCGGAGAAAATTTATAGAGAAAATATATTTGTGTCAATGCTTTGAGCATTTACAAAAAATAACACGTTATTATCAAATTTGAACATATAAATTGTTTTATAAATTGTCAAGAAACTGGAATATTATATGCCTAAAATCTAATTGACTATTTAAGAATTATAAACATTATTAGCATAAGAAATCAGAATAAAATATTAAAAAAATAAAATAGAAAAGTTGGTCAGAAATGTATTTTCAATCAATTAAAAAAATAATTTAATCAATTAAAATTTAATCAAATTTGTAAACTTAGGTTTTAAACAACGAGATAATTAAAGGGTGATGGCAATGATCAAACAAATTTACACACACAGGAATTTTTTTGATTGTGTTAGTGGTTTGATGAAAATCAAAACACTTTTAATTTTCAACTGAAATTGAAGCAGAAGAAGCATACATTGAAGAAGAAGAAGAAGCATAAATTCATTATACCCTACACCACTTTAGTGGGGAGGGTATATTGGATTTGTGCTGATGTTTGTAACATACAAAAATATTCGTCCTAGACCTTAAAGTATACCAATCGGCTTAGAATCGTTTTCTGAGTCGATTAAGCTATGTCCGTCCGTCCGTCCGTCCGTCTGGCAGGCTGGCTGGCTGTCCATGTAAATCTTGTGCGCAAGGTACAGGTCGCAATTTTCAAGATAATTGGATGAAATTTGGCACGCACGTTTTATTTGACCCAAGGACGAAGCCTATTGAAAATGGTTGAAATCGGTCCATTATTTCACCTAGCCCCCATAGAACAGAACCCCCCGAAAAGGGCTTTTGAGCTCATAATTTTGTTAAATTTACAGATATATCGATGCGGCACAACTAAGTTTTATAGAAGTCTGGATGACCCTGCCAAATTTCATAAAGATCGGGCCCCATTTGACCCTAGCTCCCATACAAAGTTCCCTTCAGAAAATTACTTGAATGTCCCAAATTAACTTATAAACACAAATATCGCGATGAAATTTAGCACAATAAAATATTATGTAAATATAAATATATTCACAAAATTTTATCGGGCTTGGTCCATATTTGCCCCTAGCCCCCATATAAAGCCTCTTTCAGAAAAT